ATATATATATGCAACAATCAATATAAAGATATAAAATACCAAATAATAATAATAAGCAATAAGACTGCTTGTCATGTCATACGTGCAATCACTCACGTGATTGACTTGTAGGGCACTTATGACTAGCACATGGTGTTGATGGATTAGGTTGCAAAATCCCTGGTAAGTTTGGCTCTTCTTCGTTCTTCATACCAACCTAAGGGTCAGTTCTATCTTTGTTGGTGCAGAACCAACATTACACCAAGGCCTTGATTGATCGTGTCTATGATGTGGGTCGGGTAATTGAACGCTTGGTGGATATGAATTCTGAGCTGCATCGAGAGATTGAAGAGTTGAGAAGCGGGCCTAGTGCTACGACCATAGGGACGACCGAGCAACGAGCCGCCGATTTGGAAGCCGAGGTGGAGCGACCGAAGATGGAGCTTGGCGAGGTCGAGTGGCTAAAGACCAAGTTAGCCGAGTCACAATGCCAACTAAAGGAGTGTCGAGGGCGGATTTGGATACTAGATGATGAAGTACTAACCCTCTCTTAGAACGTCGAAGTTGCTCGATCTACATCTCGGGTTGCCAAGGAGGTGCTTAACGAGGAGTGTCGTGTAGCTCTAGAGAGGGCGAAAGAAGCCATCGTCGACTGCAAGAGGTCCGTCGGTTTCGATCTCGGGTTGCAAAGATCGAGGCAGGTGACCTATGAATTTGGGTACCGAGTCACCCTTGCTCGATTTCGGCCGAAGTACCTTGACCTCAAGGTGGAGCAAGATCCCTTGGAGCGTCCAAGGCTCAAGTATCCTTGAGCTCGTAATTCGACGACGTGTTCTGCCGAGTCGGAATCGTCATCGTATGTCTCTAGAATCTCTTGGGTACAAGCTTATCCTAAATCTCCTAGGTGAAAGAAGATCCACCTGAGGAGCCTTCTCCTGCCTCCTCCTTCAATTTATGAAATTCTCATTGGAATTCATCCAATCGCCGGTTCACAAGAGACAACTGGACTCTAAATGAGTCGTCGGCCGAGTCTAACGATAGAGTGTCAGGCTTAGGGAATGTCGGCTTAGCTAGGCGAGGCATGGGGGTGCTTCATCCGGGCACCATTCTTTGATCTCCGACTCACTCCTCGGTCTCCGAGTGAGGAATCAGGGCTCGAGGTGATAGATCGGCCGAAGAAGCATCGCGAGGCCCCGAAGGGAGCATTGGTGGGATCGACAGTGGGGGAGTTGTTTGTTAGATGAGTTGAGGGATGAGTGAGATGATTGTTTACATCATCCCTGCCAAGGCTTGGACTTGCTTGGTGAGGCTGAGGAATGCCTCGACCAAGATGACAAGTTATCCCGAGACGTTCCCAGGCGAGAAAACCCGAGGTCATTGAACAGGTGCTAATAGCGATTCAGTGTTTGGGCCACGGCACCCTATCTCCATGTGGGATGGCAAGCCGTTGCCCCCCAAGCCTATAGGCAAAGTGGGTTGCTGGCGGCTCTTCGTCAGAATGGGCTACGAGGTTGATCGTCATTGAATGCTCTTGCGACATCAAGCTCTCCTTCTAGTACCAAAAATATTGTGGAACTTAACGTCGTGGCATAGGAGTCGACACGGCTAAGTTCCGCCCCGAAAATGCAGGGTCGCCCACACGAGGATCTAATGATGTGGCGAAGGAACCAAGTCGGGTCTGGGAGCACCTCACTGGTCGGCTCGAGGTGAGCCTTCGATTGCTGCTCCTCCCTGCCAAGAAAAGGTCAATGTCAGGAGGGGGATTCCTGATTTGACCTCTCCGAAGTTTAAGTTAACTCAAGGTGGTATATAGGTGTTTGAGGTGTCTTTTTTGTTAGTGGGGAGGAGATTGGCTTTTATACTTGTTTGTCAAAGGGTCGACCATATGAGGCTCGTTAATGATCTATGATAACTTGGGAGGCCGACACATGCTTTCTGTGTGACACGAGCCAACCTGTATGGCTCCGTACCATGCGGCACCGCCTTGCATCATCGCGAATGGCTTGAGGTAGGGTAGCACCGCCTCGTACAGATCCAAGCAGCACGAGTACGACTTCCATCACCCTCAGTGCTAAGGTGCTTTGTTGCCATGCAAGTCACGCCAAAATATGCCCTATCAGATAAAAAAACACGAAATCAACTCTAATTAGAAGGCATGACACGCCCAGTGTGTTCCCCGAACCCGAAGCATGCGAAGTATGTCTACGGCATGGGGCTTATAACGTTTCTTTGAAGCTCGAATCTAGAAGCAGCGAGCTTGTGAAGTCGATCACACGTATGGTCTACACGTAGAGAGTCGAAACACGGCGTTTAATCGTTGCTTTGTCCGCATCTGCGGCGACCTTTCGGCCATCAAGTACCAATCGTGGCCGTATACTTGGAAGTAGACTTGAATACGGATTGACGACATTATCAATGGGAAACTTATGTCATGAATATGAACTCGTGAATCAGTCTAAATAAGGCAGCTCTTCTGCGTATGAACATGGAAAGAGTCGCACTACATCTTCTTCTAATCTATGTTGTTCAAAGTGCCGTCGTGATTCCAAGTTCAAAGCGTTTATTTATCTTCTATGTAGATTGTTACGGTGGACGACACGAGATTGAGACGACAGCTGCCTCTTAAGCCTGCTTATCATATGAAAGCGAACGCCTGGAGTCAATCGCATGCGCCATCAACTCTGATGAGACGTGGAGAAGGGGGAAAAAAAAGAGGAAAGGAATAACAACTTGGAAAGCAGTTGTTTTGCACGCCAGTTGGTGTCTGACAGTTGGCTGACTTTTGCGATGACTGGTCAAAGCGGAAACGAAGACTCGATGCTGCGGACGGCTAACTACTTATTAGTGTCTCCCGTCTGCTGTCCTACTCTCGGGAGAGAGAGAGAGAGAGGGAGGCTACGGAAAGGCCAAGGAAGGGGAATGGGGAACTGCGTTTGGCCTTCCTCAAGATCTGCAAGTCCTGCAGATACCACACCAACCAGTCCAGGTATTGCCAGACAGAATCGATCGGCAAAGGTTCTGCGGAAGGAATCGAGATTGAATCTGTTTTTTGGTCTTTGTTGGGATCAAGTTTCGCTATACTTCGCTCATCTTTTTGCTGAAATTGCTCGAGTTTCCATCTTTACATGCGATTTGAGGATGTCTTTCGATTCGCTTTGTTTTCGCTGCTCTTTCTAGGTTCTGTTCTTCCCCTCTCCCCCTCCCCCCTTGGCCTCTTCCATTTACGGAACGAACAGAATGATTCCGTATCCGTCAATCCAAACTGGGGCTTGGAATTTGCGGTCCAATTTTGGATTTTGACTTGGACCACATGAGCCTCTTCTGATTTCGTCAAGATTCATTTGATTTCGTGGTTCACATGGCAGTAGCTGAAGGAGATATTCCTCTTGTGGCATCGCAGGGCGGTCGACACCCAAGACGGGCAGTAGCACCACAACCACCGGGAAGCTGTCGAGCCCCAGCAGCAGCAGCACCTTCGGGCAGTCCACCGGCAGCAGCAGCGCGAGCATTGATGAGGTGTTTCCCGATGGCCGGATCCTGGAGGCGCCCAACCTCCGGATCTTTTCCTTCGCCGAGCTGAGGACCGCCACCAGGAACTTCAAGCCGGAGATGGTTCTCGGAGAAGGCGGATTCGGGAAGGTGTACAAGGGGTGCGTGGAGGAGAAGACCCTGAACCCTGCCAAGAGCGGCGTGGGGATTGTGGTCGCCGTGAAGAAGCTGAACCCCGAGAGCATGCAAGGGCTGGAGGAATGGCAGGTGCCCTCTCTCCCCTCCCTCGCTCACTGAAACAAGCTTCCGATGCTTCCCTCTCTCACCATGTGGCTGGTGGTTGCAGTCTGAAGTAAATTTCCTGGGGAGGCTGTCACACCCAAACCTCGTCAAGCTGATGGGGTACTGCTGGGAGAAGGAGCTCCTCCTCGTGTACGAATACATGCCCAAGGGAAGCTTGGAGAACCACCTCTTCCGAAGTGAGTTCGACCCTCCATGTCCATGAGTCATTCTGTAGCTGTCATGAATCCATGTTGATCAGCATATGGTTCTTGTGCACAGGAGGAGCAGCGTTTGAGCCACTCTCTTGGAGCATAAGGCTAAAGATCGCCATTGGAGCAGCTCGAGGCCTCGCGTTCCTGCACTCTTCGGAGAAGCAGGTCATCTACCGCGACTTCAAGGCCTCCAACATCCTCCTCGACGCGGTAAGTCTCCGCCATTAGAGGGCCTCTTGCCTCCCTCTCTCGACAAGCCTTGATCGAAGTCTGCTTTCCTCATCCCTTGCGCAGAACTACAACGCCAAGCTCTCCGATTTCGGCCTCGCGAAGCATGGCCCGACCGGCAGTGACTCACATGTCACCACGCGCGTCATGGGAACCTACGGCTATGCGGCACCGGAGTACGTCGCCACTGGTACGCGTCTCACCCCGCCCACTCATTGATGGTGTGGATTGTGAGGCTTATCATGAACAGTGATCGCATTCTACCAAGCTCATGAACTGGCTTCTTCCATGGATCAGGTCATCTGTATGTGAAGAGCGACGTGTATGGATTCGGAGTCGTGCTGCTGGAGACGCTCTCCGGCCAGAGAACACTGGACCCCAACCGGCCGAGCGGGCAGCACAACTTGGTGGACTGGGCAAGGCCGATGCTGGCCGACCGGAGGAAGCTGGCGCGACTGATGGACCCGCGGCTGGAGGGGCAGTACTCCTCTAAGGGGGCTCTGCAAGCGGCGCAGCTCACCCTGCGATGCCTCGCGGGCGACCCGAAGAGCCGCCCGTCCATGAAGGAAGTGGTGGAGACGCTGGAGCACGTCGAGGCAATAAAGAGGGGGTCGAGAGAGCCCAGAAACACCCCCCAGCGGTCGGTTGCGGCCGAGGCTCCCTGCCGCGCCCATGGCCGGGCCGCTCCGCCGCTGCACCCCGGCGGCGGCGCTGCTCGGCAGCCCCACAGCGCGAGATGACGATGATGAGTGGATAGCTTCTGCTGCTTGTAAAGGTTAGTCTTGTTATTGTGAGTCGTAACCATAGATTGTGTTCAGGAAGTCGATGATCAAATGGAAGGCGTTTGTCATCTCTGATGTATCATAGGAACAAATAAATGGGATTATGGAGCCATTAGATTGAGAGTGGAGGCACTCTACATATGGTAGATTTCAGACATGCAAAACTCACCCTATAGAAGCCACGAAGCCATTTTTCTTATGTTCTACTTGTAATAAATACCCTTAGTTTAATCTGACATTCAAAGTGAAGTGAAGGAAGAATTGAATTGAATTATAACTAATTAATAGATAAAAAAAAAATTAGTTATTTTATAAAAATTAAATCATGATAAATAATATTAGAACCGACCTAATAATAACCAACATGATGAGAGATACAAATGCATATCATGGCCTACACACTATGGATCAATTATTTCGTTTATTCGGATCATCACACTAAACACCTTTTTTTTTTTATAGAAAAAAGAAATTTTGAATCACTGGATTTTATAGAAAGTGATGTTCTAATGATGGGGTTGATAATTATTATCAAACAAAATTCTATATTAGATAGCAGAATCTTCAACTTTAAATGGAAATGGTTGACAAATCAATTCATAAGATTGAAACAATTTATAGGCATATGATCATACAAACATCTATACATGAAGCTGGTGAAAAATAACACATTCCATTGATACTTAATTTACAATAAACTGGTAATAATGAAACTAGTATGAAATCACCTATTGTGCATGCATTGCATTGCATAAAGAAGCCTTGGCCTTTCCAGCAGTCACAATCATCCTGCACATAGAATATGGCATTTAGAAAACCCCACAAGTGCTAGTGGAAGAAAAGGTTTACTTCCACTAAAGATTATCTTTCGATATTTCAGCACATTCTGCATTTGCAAAGAACTGTCTCCATATTGCTATTTCCTGTTCAGATAATTGATAGTGATGATTCTTGGGAGGCATGATATAAAGGTGAGAAGCCACAAAGACAAAAGGAGATGTCTCTTGAGCACTTTTAGGCAGAATGGATACTGCACACAAACTGTCTTGACATAAACAAATGTGTGTGCTGGTGCATGTGTCTTTGATATGCATTATATAGATGAAAGAAGTACTATTTTATTATATATATGAACTAAAATAATAATCAGTCACATTCAGAGCTTTTTCTCAATTGCATCAAGACAAAAGTGCAATGCTCAAGATATTATTTAATATTTAACTCCTCCCCCATTTAATGCATACAACTATAAAACATGCGGTTCATATTTCTATGATCTGATCCATAAGCAGAATCTTAGCAGGGAGACGAACAGACAGTCAGTCATGCATAATATTGGAATATGTAACATTACTTCATAGAAAACTGGCCATAAGACTTGGATGAAATAAGTCTAGGGTTTCATGATAGAAGAAATGAGAGAAAAGAGGATGATCACTTTCATGTGATCGACCTCTTAGGGTTTATCAAAAGATTAAATAATATTTCATTAATAGGCTAAAAGAAATAGATACATCCTTATATATAGAGTTCCATCTATAGTCTACTAGGACTTGAATTCTTAATAATAAATAAATATTAAATAAACTCATATCCGATTCTTATCGAACTAAACAAACTCAATAAAATATTATTCAAAAGCTAAAAAAATAAAAGGATCCTAAAAATTCCTCCCCCTTCAAATCAGTCTTGCCCTTAAGACTGAGCAGCATTAAACTCAGGGAGCTTATCTTTCAGTACTTCAGTCACAGGGTATCTATGACGCATCACAACCCGTTGATCAAGTACGGTCTCTACTTCTTGATAGTATAAGCAATAGGTTAGCCTTTCAGTATAGTAGTCATTGTAGTCTTCTAAAGGACCCTCTCCATCCGATAGCTAGTGATAGTTGTGACCTTACTTCCACATCTTCCCTTTAGGATCACCTGCTTTCTATTAATAAAAAACTTCATGGTTAATTTAGAAAAATCCCAAGAAACATCACTTATAGTTGATAGTCATTTAATTCTAAGTACAACTTTAAAGTCTTCCAAGGGTAGCAAAAAGAAGTCCACAAGCAACTCTTGGCCCTGTATAATCAATTTTATCTTCGAACATTTGCTATCACAAGTTAAAATACATCAATTAGTGAACTTTACTTTGAATTTGTCACAACCTTCAATGTGATAGACCGATTGATCAGCAACCTTACTATCCATAAAATTGTTAGTGCTAATAGTATAAATCAAAATTATAATATACTGATGTTCTAGAGTTTCTCCAACTTTCATAGTTTGTGGGTTAGAGTAGCTGGCTAATGCATGCACTATATGAATGATAGGTCCAACATCTTCATCAAAATCTATATCTTCATGATCGGAGTCCATATTATTAGCTTCTGATTCCTCCATAATTGGTTCAATCATCAGAAGTTGCCCTTATTTACATCGGTGTTCCCTACTCCACTTTTCATCATAGTGCTAGCACAAACCCTTCGCTGATCTTTCCTTGAGTTCTTCTCGGGTTAGTCTTCGAGTGTTATGGTTCCGGTTAGGAATAGATAGGGCGGATGGCTCACTGATCTTCTATTTATTGTCACTTCTATTTTGATAATTTTTCTTGCTGATTTTTTCCTCATGTAAACGTGCAAATGACATTGCGATTGTCATAGTATGGGTTTGACGAGCTTTAACTTCACACCGGATATTTGGATTAAGTCCTTCGATAAATGTATTCACCAGTTGTTGTTCAGACCAATCTCTGACTTGATTTGATAATCATTCAAATCTGCTCTGATATTCTAACACTATGGAAGTCTCACAAATTTTGATGATTTGCCCATCAATATTCTCATATTCGAATGGTCCAAAACGAATAATAAGCCCTCTCCTGAATTGTTTCCACGAGAGAACCCCATGGCAAGTTTCATATCAATCATACCATTAGATTGCATCTCCATCTAGCCGGATTGAGACCATTAGATTACATCCGACGATCTAACTGGTCGGAACTTCATCTTCCCATCTTGGAAATTCTACCTTCAAGCATGGGTAGCTTGTGTCCTGCTCTTGGTTCCTTTTTCATATGTCTCTGATAAGACCCTAGGGTTTTATCATGGAAGGAATGGGAGAAAAGGGGATGATCACTTCGAGGGGATCAACCTCCTAGGGTTTGTCAAAAGACTTAATAATATTTTATTGTCTGCTGAAAAGAAATTGTTACATCACTATTTATAGAGTTCCACCTAGAGTCCACCAGGACTTGAACTCTTAATAATAAATAAATATTAAATAAACCTCTATCTGATTCTAACTGAACTAAATAGACTCAATAAACATTATTCAAAAGCTTAAAAAATAAAAAGGATTTTAACAATTCCTCCATATTCAAATCAGTCTTGTCCTTAAGGTTGAGCAGCATCAAACTCGAGGAGTTTCTCTTTTAGTATTTCAGTCACAAGGTATCTACGGCGCATCACAACCCGTTGATCGAGTAAGTATAGTCTCCACTTCTTGATAGTGTAAGCAATAGGTTAGCCTTTTGGTATTGTAGTCTTCTGAAAAACTCTCTCCATCTGATGACTAGTGACAGTTGTGACCTTATTAACATATCTTCCCTTTAGGATTACTTGCTTTCCATTAATAAAAAATTTCATGATTAGTTTAGAAAAATTCCACGAAACATCACCCAAGGTTGATAGTCATTCAATTCCGAGCACCACTTCGAAGTCTTCCAAGGATAGCCAAAAGAAGTCCATAAGCAACTCTTGGCCCTACAAAATTAGTTTAATCTTTAAGCACTTGCTATCACATGTTAAAATCCGTCCATCGACGACCTTTACTTCGAATTTGTTACAATCTTTAATATGGTAGGCTAATCGGTTGGCAACTTTATTGTCCATAAAATTGTTAGTGCTACCGGTATCAATCAAAACTGTAATATGTTGATGTTCCAAAGTTCCTCCAACTTTCATAGTTTGTAGGTTAGAGTAGCCGCCTAATGCATACACTGTATGTATGATAGGTCTAACATCATCATCAGAATACATACCTTCATGATCGGAGTCTACATTGTTAGCTTCCGGGTCCGCCTCAATTGGTTCAATCATAAGAAGTTGCCCTTGTTTACATCGGTGCTCCTGACTCCACTTTTCATTACAGTGCCAGCACAAACCCTTTGCTAATCTTTCCTTGAGTTCTTCTCGGGTTAGTCTTCGAGTGTTAGGGTTCCAACTGGGAATAGATAGGGCGGGTAGCTTGCTGATCATTTGTTTGTTGTCACTTCTATTTTGACGATTTTCCCTGTTAATTTTTTCCTCATGTAAACGTACAAATGATATCGCAGCGATCATAGTACGGGGTTGACGAGCTTTGACTTCACACCGAATATCTGAATTAAGTCCTTCAATAAATGTGCCCACCAGTTGTCGTTCAGATCAATCTTTGGCTTGATTTGATAATCTTTCAAACCTACTCTGATATTCCAACACTATAGAAGTCTGACGAATTTTGGCGAGCTATCCATCAACATTCTCGTATTCAAATGGGCCAAAACGAATAAGAAGCCCTCTTGAATTGCTCCCACGAAGGAACTCCGAGGCAAGTTTCATACCAATCATACCACTGGATTGCATCTTCATCTAGTTGGATTAAGGCTATTTCTACCTTGGATTCTTCTAGGGTCCTGTGAAAGCGAAAAAAAAAATTCTGATCTAGAGATCCAACTAGTCGGATCCCTATCTTCCCATCTGAAAAATTCTACCTTAATGTATGAGTAGTTGTGTCATGATCTTGGGGCTCTTTTCCTGTATCTTCAGATTTGTTCAACGTATAACTTGAGTCCCCATCTTGTTAAAATTTTCAGTATGCTCTTTTTGAAATCATTAAGTATTTCTTGCAATCGGTTCTCCTGATTTTCAATGCTTCTATTTGTGCTTTCACTGAGTAATCCCCGATTTGGTCCGATTTGGTGTCGGGTCAAGGGCATCAATACTACGGTGACCGGTGGCTGCGACGGTTGTGACAGAACAAGGCGGGGATGGTTGAGTGGCCGAAGATGCAAAGGATGGTGGACTCAGTGGGCTGCGGCTGGGATTGCCCTACTTCACCTTTTCTTCCTTTCCTACTGCGGTGGCAACCGGTCGTTGCTCGCTAGTCGAAAGAAGAGGAAGCAGTTGTGGCGCGGCTGGGAACAATGCTCTATTTATGCCGTTGCGAGAAGGGAAAGTTGCTGTCGAGGTTGAGAGGCAGTAGTGGCGGTGCGATTGGGAGCAAGATCACCGAGGGCGAGGAGCAGCAAAGGGTCGCCGAGGCTAGGCGCTGCCAGGGGGTGGTCTACTGGCCGGGAATAGCGATGGCGGCCCTTTCTCGCTCGAGCGAGATGGGGCAACGAGGAGGGAAGGTCGCTGGCCGGGGATCAGCGACAGCGGTGGTCAAGCGACCGGGAAGTAGCGGTGGCGGTGGAGAAGGAGGCAGTGAGGGTCATGGCAGGGATGCGGCGGCGGTTATCATTGGCCGAGAAGTTGCGATGGTGAAGAGGGGAAACAGGGGTACGTGGCTGCCGGCGCTTGCTCTGTTTCTCCGAGAAGCAGTGGCGATGATGGAGAGGGGGAGGTTGTTGGCAAGGGAGCAGCGGCGGCAATGAAGAAACGAGCGACGGTGGTGGAGAAGGGGAGTAGGGGTGCGGGCTAAAACAAGGGTACAAGCCAGCATTTTCTCTCTCTCTCTTAGTCGATGATAAGAGTAACGAGAATGCCGAGGATCACTGCTCTGATATCAAATGATAAGACCCTAAGATTTTATCATGGAAGGAAGGGGAGAAAGAAAGATAATCACTTCGAGAGAATCGACCTCATTGATCACTTCGAGGGGATTGACCTCTTGGGGTTTGTCAAAAGACTTAATAATATTTTATTATCTGCCGAAAAGAAATGATTATATCACTATTTATAGAGTTTCACCTAGAGTCCATTAGGACTTGACTCTTAATAATAAATAAATATTAAATAAACCTCTATCCGATTCTAACTGAACTAAACAGACTCAATAAACATTATTCAAAAGCTCATAAAATAAAAAGGATCCTAACAGTCTCTAGATCGGTTCAATGTAAGACTTAAGCTTTCATCTTGTTGAAACTTACTGAATCTTTCCAATAGACTCCTTTTGAAATCATTAAGGGTTTCCTGCAGTCAATTCTCAATCCTAGTTTTTAAGGCTTCTAATTGGGCTTTTACTGAGTTATCGATAGCTATTGCTCGATTAGGAAGCCACAGGGATCGCACGGCTGGTTAGCAATGAACGCCGAGCGATCGCGAGCGACCGAGGGCTGAGGCTGCGGTAGAGAGAAAGGGGAGAAGCAGCGGCAACGACGAGAGGAGGACTTCTTTTTGGTTTGCTCGCTATGAAGCAGCGGCGGCGATGGTCGTTGCTTCCGCGGCGATGGTCGTTGGCCGGGAAGCAACGACGGCTAGTGACGATGGCTTGGCTGGAGGGAACGTTGGTGGAGATTGCTCAGTTTGAGGGATGGGAACCAGTGATGGGTCACCGAGGGAGACGATCGCTCTGCTAGGAAGGAACGTCGAGGGTTGTGACAGAGATGGGATGCGATGGCCGTTGGCCGGGAGGCAGCGACGGTGGTGGTGGCAACCAGCGACTACGGTGGCCGCGACAGGGACTATAGCTGGGCTTCTTTCTCACTCGAGAAGGATGTGGTTGCCGATTTTTTTTTTTTTCTGAGATTCTGATAACTACGACAATACTACAGCGAGAACGTCGAGGATTACTACCAAATGATAAGACCTTAGAATTTTATGAAGAAAGGGATGATCACTTCGAGAGGGTCGACTTTCTTGATCACTTCAAGGAAATCAGCCTCCTAGAGTTTTTCAAAAGATTGAATAATATTTCATTGATAGTTTAAAGAAATAGATACATCCATACTTATAAAGTTTCATGCAAAATACAGACTTTAACTTTTAATAATAAATAAATATTAAATAAATTCTTATTCGATTCTTATCAAATCCACTAATGACATATCAATCTGAGAAATAAAATACCAGCTGGTACAACTAATCCACGAACAATATCTAATCCTACATTGTATTAGAATCGCCTTCGTTATCAAGGATGTTTGCCAATAGCTTGCTCAAATTAGAGGACAGATGGGATGATCCAGACACAGTAATTCTTTGGAGACAAGACCTATTCAAGTACTGCAAGTTTCTTGGGGTTAACTTGCCAAGAAAATATTTGCTATTATTCTCACATCAAATGAGAAATAATAAGTAGAAGCCTTATACATTAAAGGAAAGCTTATTTCCTAAATAGCCCTAGAAATCAGTGATGAAGATTAACTCACAGCTTGCTTCCACTAATCTTGAAAAGGCTTTTTTCCATGGCCTTCACCTTCTCCCGCAGGACAAATTTCTGAACCTTTCCTGTTGAGGTCTTTGGAAGATCTTCAAAAACAACAGTGCGAGGTGCCATGTAATGTGGCAGCCTGGCGCGGCAGAATTTGATTATATCTTCAGCATTAGCACCAGAACCTTCCTTTAACTTCACAAAAGCACAAGGTGTCTCTCCCCAGTGCTCATCTGGACGTCCAACAACAGCTGCCTCGAGGACTGCAGGATGACTAAATAGCACAGACTCCACCTCGATCGTGCTTATATTCTCCCCACCAGAAATTATGATATCCTTTGAGCGATCTTTCAGTTGTATATAACCATCAGCATGTCTTACACCAAGGTCCCCAGACCGAAACCATCCCCCAGCCATTGCTTCCTTAGTTGCACTCATATCTTTGTAGTAACCACACATGATAGTGTTGCCTCTGAACATTACTTCTCCAATGGTTTTAGCATCAGCTGGAACACTCTTCATCGTAACTGGGTCTTTGACATCTACTTCCTCTAGTCCAAGATGCTGGAGACCTTGCCTGGATTTTAGTCTTGCACGCTCCTCTGCAGGGAGCGAATTCCACTCTGGCTTCCATGTGCAAACTGTACCGGGGCCATAGGTTTCAGTGAGGCCATATGAGTGGGTGACATGGAAACCGAGCTCCTCCATCTTGAAGAGAACATTGGGCGGTGGTGGTGCAGCACCGGTCATTACATTGATCCTTCCAGGCAGTGGTTTCTGATCAGCGATTGAGGCATTCACGATCATGTTAAGAACTGTTGGTGCACCACCCAGGTGGGTTACCCTGTGCTGGGCAATGTTATCAAATATAGCCTTTGCAGAGATATTTCTCACGCAAATGTTTGTGCCACCTTGTGCTGCCATGCCCCATGTAAGGCACCAACCATTGCAGTGGAACATGGGCACAGTCCATAGATACACCGGCATTGCAGTCATGTCATTCAGAAGGATGGTTGCAACAGCATTCAAGTAGGCCCCTCGGTGACTGTAGATAACACCTTTGGGCCTGGATGTAGTACCAGAGGTATAGTTCAGAGAGATTGGGTCACATTCATCAGCAGGCCATTTGATCTCAAATTGTGGAGATGCCGTCGTCAGAAGAGACTCATATTCCATATTACCTGAAGCAGCAGAACTACATCCGGTTGATTCTGAGATCATGACCAGAAGAGGCAGCTTTACTTTTTCAGCAGATAAAAGTTTGAATGCTCCTTGGACGACTTCAAGTAACTGGTGGTCAACAAACATGACCTTAGGCTCACAATGCTTGAGGAGGACAGATACCATGGCCGAGTCATGACGTGTGTTAAGTGTGCAGAGAATTGCCCCAGCCATCGGGACACCGAACTGTAATTCGTACATTGCCGGAATATTTGGAGCAAGCACAGCCACCTGATTAAAAAGTCCAGATGGTTATAACAGTGACTGAAGTCACTGAACATGATGTGTCAGCAACAAAACTACGACATCCAATTGCCAATTAAACTTGCCACCTTTTGCAAAGCAGTGAAAGACTACAGGACATTCGAAAGTGGAATAATTACGAAAGGTATACCACAGCAACAAAAAAGAAAACAAGCCATAATAATGAACAAGAGATGTTTTAGGGTCAGATAATATAGAGGCAAGAGAGATGATAGCTTTGGTGGAATTAAACATATTCAAGTATCATAAAGAGATTAATTTCATCAAAAGAAATATTCATTACATCAAGAGAGAGATTCATTACATCAAGAAAAAAAAGAGATTAAATATCTATGAAAAGATAAGTCAAATTGATTATTGGTTTTTGAAAAGGTTTATTTAAAGAGAATGATTCATTTTGAATATAATTAATGTAATATATACTTGGGGACTATATAAGCCCCGTATGTTAGGTCATGAAACAGATAGAGTTTCTGAAATTGTAAAGAGTTTCTTGAGAGAAATATAGAAGATAAAAGTTTGTCCTACTTTTCCTCTCCATTCTTCTTATCAACTTCAATATTTGGTATCAGAGCATAGGTTAAGCTATGGTCTATTTCCCAAATACCATCCAAATTCAGATCCCCAGATTGACAAAAGAAAATTATGATATATGGTGCATCCAAATGAAGGTTCTTCTAGACTCCCAAGATGTATGAGAGTTTGTAAAAGATGGATATGTTGAACTAAGTCCGGTAGAAGAATGAGCAATGAATGCTTTTGCAAGAAAGCAACTCAAAGATAGAAGGAAAAAGGAGAAAAATGGTTTATACACGATCTACCAAGGGCTTGATGATACAATGTTCGAGATCATCGCTCTAGCAAATACTTCAAAGGAGGCTTGGGAAATGCTTCAAAAAACATTTGGTAGTGTTGATAAGGTAAGTCTACAAGTTTTACGAGCGAGTTTGAAAAATTACAACAAGGTACTTATGAAACTATTTCTGATTACTTCTCAAAAATCATTTCTATTGTTCATCAAATGAGACGAAATGATGAATAAACAAGTGATCAAAGAGTAATAAAAAAAATACTGAGATCTCTAGATCTAAAATTTGATTTTATTGCTGTTACGATTGAAGAATCTAAAGATTTGAAAAAAAAAAGTCTTTAGAAAAACTTATGAATTCCCTTCAAGTTCATAAACAAAGGATTACAAAAAGAGGAGAAGACAAAACTATAGAGCAAACACTACAAACAAAGCTTACTTTTGAAAATAAAGATGAATCAAATTCTCAAAAAGGAAGAGGATGTGGAAAAAGAGGAAGAGGAGGTAGAAATCAGACCAATCAAGAATCTCCAAACAATGAAGATGGCGGAAAAAATTCTAGCCAAAAAGACAGAGGTTATGGTCGAGACTGTGGACGTGGTAGAAACTCTAAAAGGTCTGAAATACAATGCTATATTTGTAAAAGGTATGAACATTACTCCTATGAATATTATTATAATCCTAACAACCAAAGTGAGAAGGCAAATTTTTTTGAGGAAAAAAAAATGAAAATCAAATTTTGCTAATGAGTTATGATAATTTGAAAGATGATCAATCTATGACATGGTATCTAGATACAAGAGCCTCAAATCATATGTGTGGCATCAAAGAGTTATTTTCAAAAATGGATACAAGTTATTCCGGGAACATTATATTTGGTGATTTGTCTCAAAGACCAATAAGAGGCAAATATAAAATTCTCCTTGAACTTAATAATGGCAAAGAATTATGCATTTCAGATGTTTTTTATGTTCCAAATATGAAAAATAATATTCTAAGCTTATGATAATTACTTGAAAAAGATTATAATATTGAGATGAAAGATATGACTCTCTCAATTTGTAACAAGAATAAAACATTGATATCACATGTCAAAATGGCAAAGAATAGAATATTTCCTCTACATTTATGTATTTTTTATCAGTCAAATTATTTTAAAACAGGTATTGTGGATATTTCTACTCTATGACATCTTAGATATGCTCACTTAAATTTTGAGGATTCGAAACTTCTAGAGAAATATAATATGGTGATAGGAATGCCAAGATTTGATCGCCTATCAAAATTATGTGAAGTATGTGTCATGGGTAAGCAAGAAAGAAACTCTTTCAAAGTCAGAAGAACAAAAAAAGCATGGCATCAACTTGATCTGGTGCACTCAGATGTTTGTGGCCCTATCAATCCAGTATCGCTTGGAGGAAGCATGTATTTTCTTTCCTTCATTGATGATCATAGTGACAAAACTTGGGTTTACATGTTAAAAGAAAAGAAAAAATTTTTAAGCAAATTCAAATAATTTACGAATTTGGTTAAAAAACAAAGTTGTTGTAAGATTAAATGTTTAAGAACAGATAGAGGTGGTAAATATATATCAAATGTATTTAAAAGTTTTTATAGAAATAATGAAATTCTACATCAATTCACCATGTCATACACACCTCAACAAAATAGTGTCTCAAAAAGAAAAAATAAGACTATCCTTAATATGGTCCATGTTAAAGGAAAGAAAAATTCCTAAAGAATTTTGAGGAGATGTTGTTGCTTGTGCTTTATATGCTTAACAGGTTTCCGACAAAGCGAATTGGTAATATTACACCAGAAGAAGCATGGAGCTTACAAAAACTAAGAGTTGATCATTTGAGAATTTTTGGAAGTGTTGTATTTGCCAAGATACTAGAAGAAAAGAGAACAAAATTGGAGGATAAAAGTTAAAAATGCATTTTGCTAGGTTATCCTAAGAATTCCAATGGTTACAAACTCTATAATTTTATCATAAATAAAGTTATGATGTCAAGAGATGTTCTGTTTGACGAACATCAGATTTGGAACTGGAAAAGTGATGAGCAGCATAAGAAAGCTATAGCTTCAGAAGATGATGAAATAATATAAGCAAGCACCGAAGTGGCTTTGCCGGAATCATCACCTAGATCAGCTAGGTCACATGATTCAAGAAATCCGATTATAAGAAGGACAAGATCGATTTATGAGCTATATGATGTGACTCGAAGGATTGATACTAACAATGAAGAACTTTTTTTATTTTATCTTTTTGCACGATATGATCCATTAACCTTTGAAGAAGCTTATAGAGAAGAAAAACGATGACAAACTATGAATGAAGAGATTCAACCATTAACAAAAATGATACATAGGAGCTTACTGTACTTCTAGAAGACCACCAAGCTATCGGTGTTAAGTGGATCTTCAAAACAAAATAGAAATGCAAAAGGAGAGGTGGAGAAATACAAGGCCTGATTGGTTGTAAAGGGATACAAACAATAATATGGGATTGACTACGAAGAAGTATTTGTACCAATTGCTCGATTGGAGACAGTAAGATTACTTCTCTCTCAAGCAACTTCTTCTAGTGTTTGTCATGCAATCTGGCTAAGAAGATTACTCCAAGAATTTCATATGCCACGGGAGAATTCAATCAAGATTTATGTTGATAACAAATCAGTTATTGCCTTAGCCAAGAATCCAATCTACCATGAAAGATCGAAGCATATCGACATAAGATTTTATTTCATGAGATATCATATCAAAAATAAAGAAGTGGAGCTACATCATGTCAAGACAAGTGAACAAGTGGCCGATATACCTACAAAACCTCTTAAATTTGAAATATTTCAACAACTTCGAAAGAAACTTGGCATGTTAGATGGAACAAGTTTAAGGGAGGAGAATGTTGGAATTAAACATGTTCAAGTGTCATAAAGAGATTAATTTCATCAAAAGAAATGTTCAATGTATCAATAGGGAGATTCATTACATCAAGAAGAAAAAATAGATTAAATGTCTATGGAAGGACAAGTCAAATTGGTTATTGGTTCTTGAAAAGGTTTCTTAAAAGAGAATGATTCATTTTGAATACAATTAATGTAATATATCTTTGGGGACTATATAAATCTCATATGTTGGGTCATGAAACAGATAGAGTTTCTAAAATTGTAAAGAGTTTCTCGAGAGAAATATAGAAGATAAGAGCTTATCCTACTCTTCCTCTATTTGATAACTTCATCCCTTCTTCCTATCAACTTCAACAAGCTTCACACACAAACAAGAATTAGTTGAACAAGTTCATAATTTAAACTCATGTCAAATTGTTTAATTCATTTCCAAGAAGTTGATATGCAAGGAGATTACTTACTTCTAGTATTGGACATACTCCCAAGTTTCTAGAAAAAATTCCGCCCCTTGTTATTTTTTTTTATAGAGCATTTTATATTATGTTAAGGCCAAGTTGTTTTATGCCATGATAGATAGCATGCCCATACTCTTACAGCGAGGCATGATACCTTGCCATGCCGGTTGCGATAGGCCAACAGTTATTCTAGCCACCTCCTGTATGGACGACCATCACTTATACCAGACATCTGTCTAGCATTTGTCTTTCGAACAATGTTGACACATGCCGATTGGCAGAAGTAACATCCATCAAGCCATATTCAAAGAAAATTAATAAAGATAGCAAATATATCATATGATATTTTCCTGACTGAAATAGAATAACATCATAGGAGGATCCTTAATTGAAGAACCAATGGTTTACAAACAAAAAATAAAAATTAGTTGAACTACTCGTGTGCAACAAACTCACCAACAACAAAAAGAAACCAAACATGAAATAAAAGAACAAATTGAAATAATGTAACGCTTAGGTCATGATTTACAATGTGTCTCTAACAACCAAGACTGCTTTTCTATCAACAAGAGGATGAGTTCTATTCACTTCAATCTTTTTCTCTCATAAGTTAGGACATGTGACATGCCTATAAAGGATAACCAAGATTGCTTTCCCATTAAAAGGTGCATGAGGTCCATGCAGTTAGATCGATGGATGCTCCATATATGCATCTGTCTAGGTTCTTAATAGTGAAAGAGCTAGGAAGGGCAAACCTAGAATTACAAATTTAGTAAATATTCCAGTCAATTGTCTGGTGCTGCATTCCATATCAAATACTGCAATACTATCTAGTTGGACAAGTCATTGTCATCCCCCCGTATGTCCTCGTACCACTCGAATTTTATATCACCAAACAGTGACTGTTGGAAAGGTCAATGTGATCCGGAATTGATTTATCTACTGTGAAGAGCTCCATCTCATCTCATAAATAATACTAAACAGAGATACAACCATCGAGCATACTATTCTGGCCCACTAAAATTTCTAAGCAGCTGTTTCATATTAATCAGAACAAAATAGAAAAAAAGGGGAACAATCCAGCGACAATAAAATCATAAGCAGATAATGTGAGAGCAAGCATCAATATCGAACTAATAATCTACAACAAGTGTAATTAGGAAGAGGAAGAGATAATTACGACGTCGCCACGGGAAACCCCCAACCGGGCGAGAGCGGAGGCGAGGCGGAAGCAGCGGCCGCGCGTCTCCCTCCACGTGTAGGCAACGGAGCCATGGACGACGGAAGTCCGGTCGCCATACACGAGGGCGGCGCGCTCCAGGAAGCTGATGGGCGACAGGGGAACGTAGTTTGCCGGGCATCGGACCGATGCCTCCATCTCGTGCACTCGCAGCTTCGGTTAGCGCCTCCCGGGCGCGCGGTGTCTATTTAAGGAGAGGGGGGGCGCGGGGGGTAAAGCTCGATGGGCGCGGCGCAGAAGGCGAACATTGTCGCCTGGCTCGCCCACCAGAAGAGATGTACTCGCCGACCAGAACAGATGTACTGTTCCGCTTCTCGTTACAGGTCATTGCTTACGCAGACATCATGAAGCCATTGGCATTAAGACTGTGGTGATGGAAGTGACCTGAAATTAGTTACTGTGAGTGGCTTGATTTTTATATTTTTAAAAATTATATTAAAGTTTTATACTTGTTAGTCTAATAATAATTTTTTATTTTATTTTATAAAATTATCTTTTTAATGAGTCTCAATATTTCACTTTCATATGTATAAATGTCTCAATATAATTTTTAAAAATTTAAGGATCGAAATATTAAAAATAATTAATTATAAAAAATAATATATAATTAATCTTGAAAAAGATGGGATTACTATGAAATAATATCACATAATCGAATCAATGGGATGCGAACATGATCGTATTAGCCGATGATAAATAAATAAAACATACATGAATAGATCATCTTTCATCTGCTTATTTGAACTTGACAATGATGAATAGTTTGATAAAAATAAATTATTTATATTTTTATGCCATTTAGTTATAAGTTCTAAGCTCGCAAAATTAATTGTTGACTATATTTAAAGAATTAAAAAGATCCAATTACAACATAAAAAAAGAAATGTTCGTTTTGAAGTAGACAAACACAAGTGGCTTGCGATGTCACCTACAAGGGACCTTTTTACCTGCATGGGAACTACTTGAACGCTCGCTACGTGTCTGAGAGTGAACACTACTAGTGTTCATCTGGGCAAGCTGCATTGTTGCATTGAAGTACTATCCATTTCTTTAGATTGTTAAAGCCATCCACAAGTCTTAAAAACACTTCGTCCCGAGCACTGGAATTTCCACCCATTGTCTCAAAGTTACGGACTGGTCTGACTGGTACAAAATGCAAGCAAATGCCTACCTTCAGAGCTACGATGAGTCTGCTTGATCACAAAGTAGAGTTACAACTTCAGATACTGATTTGTTTGGTACCAAAGATCCTAACAATTTTTCCAGCTAAGTGTGCCGTATAGAACTCTGCTAGATTTAATTCAACTAAATCAAAGCTCATGCGGTTGGAAGACCACAAGTGTGCCAAAGCTCAACCTATAACAGTGCGCCAGATGAACAACTCCATTTCTCCAAAACTTCTATCTTAATTAGATCAAAATTCAAAGAAAAAACAGGAGACAAACAGTCTTAACCAAACAAACCTTTCTGTAGACGCACGAGTATTCAAGCAAATTATCTGGGGAGTAACATGAGCAACTTGCAACTTGTAATTCTGGCTGTCGGTTGAAACCATTTTCTTTTATTGGAAATGAAATGACATCTAGATGCCTTTACATTGTGCTTCACAAGATCCAAAACATAATTGCTTAGGCTATTGACAATACATGAAGGTCCCAATCCATAAAACTCGGCCAAAGGAGATGGTTGACGCTTGCCGAAATTTCCTGCTCCATCACAATTAGCAGATATACAAGAGTACAGGTGGGTTTTTTTTTTTCGCTGCAATGGTAACTGCCTGACTTATTCCATGCAATGCCAACAAAAATGCCAATCTTATAGTGCATAGGCTTGCAATTTTGGTTCTCTCTGCAAACACATAATGATGTCCATGGTGAAATCTAGCGACTCTCCGGTAAAATATCCTCAGTCCTTAGTGATCCACCTACGTCCATGGATCTCATACCGACCATGACCAAGATCACTACTGTCTCCACCTTCCGCACTTGTATATCCTGATTTTCTGCGATGTCTTCTTCCTCTTTTAGACCCACTGTCGCTATTACTTCCATACAGTAATGGGTCATCGATTCCACGAACAACCCGCCTGGAAGGAGGAGATGACCCTATGCAACTATCATCCTTGGTTCTCAACTTCTTATCATGCTTTCTTATGTTCTCAGAGATCTTGTGAAGCTTCTCATTGAACCGTGTGAAACCCTTCTCCATGGGCTCCACTGCATGGGTGACTGTAAACTTCAAATCATTTACAATCTGCAGAAGACAAAAACAAGGTTCTGTAAAACGATCAACTACAGAAAAAGTAGAAAGTACCATTATAAGCACATAAGTTTCTCCTCCTGTGTTTGCTTCCCAAAACAAGATGTATACCACTTTTCTGCAAGATTTAAATCCGACCTTCAGGTTGATGTGCCATACACTTCAATGTCTATCAACTTCAAAGGCATCTTCACCTCAACCAATAATAAGTAGCACCAAAACTACCACAATTATGATTGTTTTCATCTCTAATAGAAAAAACAAACAATCTATGCTAAAAAATTTTAATCTGTCATAAGGATTCTTCAAATTCATCTGAAACATGATTGGATTACAACTAATCAGGTTTTCCCCCACAGGCTGAAAAAACAGTCACTTAGCCTCCTCTTCTATTCTGATTTATAAAGAGATTGACAGCAAGTAACCATGGTAGAACCAAAGATAAGACTACAACCTTTGACTAAAGAAACCATGTGACCTAGAGTATGGTTTGTGTGATGGCACAGAAATTATGAATACCAACAAAGTTGCACTTCCCAGAGAAGTTTTAAATGATTATCTCAATTTCTTGGCTGTCATTTAAACTATAACAGTTAGGAGCAGTGATCTCAACTTGCAAGCCACTGCCAATCAAATTCCATGTACTAGGGCCATTGACCATCCCAGATTTATAATGAAGTTTTTTACTTGCTATGCAGATAGTGAAGTTAGCATCAAAAATTAATTTATACAAGTCATACAAGAAAAAGTGAACGGAATTAGAAATTCCATGGTTCCAGAAGCACATAATGCTAAAACCAATTGGAGAGAAAAAAATATGCTAGATGTAAATGAACCTGTAGGTTAAATCTACATACAGGCACCTTGCACCATCAGTTATGACCCTTCTTCGAGTGGACCCCATTTTTGTTATTGTAGGACCTTACAAGAATAGCAGACTTGTGTGCAAGGTGTGTGAAACTTGATGTTGCTTAGGCAAACATGCAAGTCTACTACCCTAGAGCGGCAGTTTGACCGAACAAGGAGCAAAGATACTGAAATGCAGGAAGACTAACAAAATTCCTAACCAATCCTTAGTTTGAAGGACAACACTATTTAGTCAAGCATGAAAAAAGAAAGAGAGAAATTGGCACAAAATGGAACAAAATAGTCAACATGTAATTTAATTTTAGTACTCAGAACACAGGATATGCATAAAAAGATCAGTAATATGTTTCAGCTTTGCTATGTAATGGAAAAGAACACTTTTTGGGTAGATAACAAAAACCCACATCTAAATTTGATATAATGAAGAACACTCGCTGTCACACCAACATCTACCAATCCTCATATGGAAATGCAAACTGCAAAAAAAAAAAAAAAAATCCTACATCCAGATATGTGTCTGATATAATGAGAGTGCTTAGATAGAAGAGCCCTAAAATGAGTCCAGATTGGAATTGTGAACCTTGACAATAAGAGCATGGTGGTATGTAATATGAGAGAAAGACTAACATACATATTCTCCTCCTCCAAGAACAACATCACGAACACTTTCTCTAATGGCTGTCGTGCTCTTGGTACCAATATCAGGCTGGGGAAGTCTAAGCTTTGTAGGTCTTTCACAGTCTCTGACCTCATCAGGGTCTAAAGGGCAGTCCAAAGATGCATAGTTTCCAAGAACTGATACACCTCCAGCAAAGCAGACATCCATTAACTTGTATGGCTTGGCAGGGAACACATAGAGATGGACAACGGAAGCAACACACATCTGTGCTGGAAGAACAAATGGGTCTATTAGAGTTTTTGCCTTAGTTTCCAAAAATATAAACTGAAAATAAGAACATTTTACAAACTGATCATATAGAAATTCCATGGAACTTGCTACAAGAAAACATGTATGAGTGCAATTATGTAGGTATCTGATTCCTATAAATAATAAGAAAAATTAATAAAACAACACCAAAAAATACACATGATAAATTATTACTGCATGTTTTATCAACAATCAACGGCTTTCCATTTCTTATAAAGTCGAAACAAAATAAACAGACTATAACATTTTCTTTAACATATACAAAACAAAACAGGAGCCAATGTCATTGACAATGCAAATTATTACATAAGCTCAATCCAATTCAAGGCACGGACCTAATCTGTGGAAATTAAAAAAAAGCAAAAACAATATGCTAGATCAATGAAACAACAAAAAGTACCTCTATACAAATAATGAAGTCCTGAACACTTGATTTGAACTGTAAACCTTGGGCAATAGGGCTCTTAAACAAACCCCAACTATAAAGTAGTGCAATTGCCACATCTTGCCACCATGTCAAAAAGACGATTGATTTAAACATCACGAATTTAGCCAGTGGTTTTATATGAGCTAATTCATCTGATGTCGCAGCATAAAATTGGACTAAACAGTATAATGCCCATGACTGACTGAAATTGAGAACAACAGCCATGTACGGGTACCTACAGAATCAGTAAAATCTCATAATTTGTCACATTACATCAATCAAAATCATCAGAACAACAGCCATGTATGGGTACCTACAGAATCAGTAAAATCTCATAATTTGTCACATTACAACAATCAAAATCAGACACTTAACATGTAACACACAGATGATGAATATTATGACAGGAAACAGTCTTTTCCATATGGCGAAAATGCATACCATGATTATCATCCGAATGCTTCACCAAGGTTCGAAATACCGTACTGTACTGGCGTTTCGACGTTCGCTCGGTACGGTACGGAACGGTATACC